GGGCTTTCTCCAACTCTTCGCGGCCGATACATCCGGGAAGACTCCTGTCAAAAGTGGTTCTTGATGACTCGAAGCTGGTTTAGTACAGGTTTCTTAGGGGTTTTGGACCGGCTCTTATCTATTTAGGTTATCCCCGTGCAGCGTCTTTGGTAGCATTTTGTAGGTGCTGTGTCGTGTACAGGCTCTGCTTTGGCCTAGGCATCCTATGGTGTGCTGTGTTTTGCGGATTTCGCTGGCCTTCGGATTGGCGCTTCGACCCTGGGCGCTGGACAACTCCAGAGCCTGAACTCTTTGACCGATTTTGACCCTAAACACTGAAACGCCCCAAAGGCCCTAAACCCTTACTGGGGCTCCGGGGTCTTCCTTTGCAGCGCTTTTCATTCGAAGGCCACATCCTAGGAGGCGCTGTCCGTTACCCACAAAAATCAATACCCTGGACTGCCCAATATTTTTCTGATTTTTCGAATACTCCTGCATTATTTAGGGCATCTAATTACGAGTATGATCCATAAGGTGCAGTGTCGGTCTCTCTCTGTAACTGGCATAAGAGTTTTGAGGCCAGATCTACAGCAAGGCTGCTCTTTGCACCTTGCCTATCGGCTTGATGTCAAGAATTCCTCATTGAGGGAGGGGTCTTAGTACCTACCCTAAGCAGCAGATTGAACCCGAGGTTTCACACCACTTCGACGCAAGCTTCAACTGTTGTGCAACTGCAGTTTGCAGAAACAAACAGAGGGTCCTGCCTTCCATATTGAAAGAACCATTCTTCCAGATGCCGCGTCACGTTCTCGTGCCTCAGGGCCTTTCCAATCTCCTGGTTCTTCTGCTCCTTCTGCTGGGAGGCCATGAAAGAGTCGCTGATGACACTGGTGATCAGCCCGATCACGGCGAAGCAGCAAAGCATCATATAGATGATGATGAGGGGAACCACAACGGTGCTGGGATAGACCCCACTGAGAACCGCAGCGATGTGGTCCCACCCCGAGAGCGTCTGGATGGTGAACAGGGTTTGCCTTGATCAGATACCGTGGACATATGGGTGCAGCATCCCGGTTTTGGTGACAATGATGATGATGGTAGCTCATTTCTGAGGACGATGATAGCAAGGCCATTGTGGGCATCGATGGTGACGCTGAGAATGGACATCCTGCCACTAAAGGTGATGTTCGAGCTGCACCTGCTGCTGCTCCTGATGGTGATGAGTGATGATGATGATGATGATGGTCATCCCGACCATGACAATGACTCCCCAAGAACAAGAGTAAACACAACACGAGCCTGAAGCCCCCACCCTCGGATCGCCATGCTCCAGGCATCTCGTTTTGCCGCATACCGACACCCAGCAGAATTCTGACAACTGAAACACCTGCTCGAGAACCAAACCCCTTCGAGGATTTCGCTCAAGGGTTGCGGTAGCTACGCCACCCGTGAAATGCTTAAGGTCCCAAGCCAGACGAATTTTTTAGCAAAGGCGACGAGCCGAGCGGCATGGAACGGCCGATGGATCCGAACCAAGTTTCGATATCCTCCTCTGTCTCGTCGACGGCCCACGGGGTAGCCCTGGCACTTGTCAAGTGTAGCGTTTAGGGGTATGCTTAGGGTTCAGGGCGTCGGCGATCGAATTGCAAATAGCCGTAGAAAGATTACGATGGCGGTGAGGGTGGTTACGCATCCACTTGTTTCACGTCTCCTTCTGCTCATCATGAATGAGCGGCTGTCGGGCATAGAAACTGTAGCTTCGAGTGTGTTCACCGAGACTTCCATGAAGGTGGGTCGCAAGAAATATGTTTGCCTTTCGGGAATGTCCAAATCTCATTGGTGATGATGTGTGCTGCGACTTCTTCTTTGCAGAGACCAGTCTCGTTGTCCCTCAAAGCTTGAAATGGAACCCTTGCTTCAGGTAGGTGCAGGGGCAACATGAAGTTTTAGTGTGAGGAATTCAATGCCGGTATGGGGCCTTAGACTTTTGCAGAGATTTGGGTTTGTACGGGATGCTTAAGTGGTAAAGCAATGCAACACCACGGGAACCAGCTTGGAGTTTGACAGCATTCTGAAGCCCTTCAAAGGGTCCTTTGACTTGAGCACATGGGCTTGGGGTCTTGTTTTCTACATTAAGTACAATCGGGAGACCTAGGGGATAGTACTTTCAAGCCCCAGAGAATCCGAGAGGCGGCGAGACTCGATTGCATGATGCCTCTGTCCCACGAGGGTCGTGAGGATAATGGCAAGGCCGAAGTTTAACACGCCAACGACCTTAGACAGTTCAGAAGCGGAGTGCTGATTGCCTTTACTCCAAACATGCTCCATGATTCTACTTTTTAGGATCCCGGAGGAGTAGTAGTAGTAGTAGTAGTAGTAGTAGTGGTAGTGGTAGTGGTAGTGGTAGTGGTAGAAGTAGTAGTAGTAGTAGTAGCAGTAGCAGTAGCAGTAGTAGTAGTAGTAGTAGTAGTAGTAGGAGTAGTAGTAGTAGTAGTAGTAGTGGTAGTGGTAGTGGCAGTAGAAGTGGTAGTGGTAGTTGTAGTGGTAGCGCAGGTGGTAATAATTACAAACTCGAAAGTAGGCGGGTGACGTCGCGGCTAATTTCCGCAGCGGTCGCTACTCAATGTCAATTTCGAAATTAGTGGGTTTGGGGCTGGTGGCAGTATCTGGGCCAGCAGAATGTGCTTTTGGGGTGCCAGAGAAGGCACAACGAGCTTATCTGAGTCAGATAGGTTGTTTACTGCTTATCCATGCTAAAAGCATGCTTTAAGAATGCCACACAAGGGTGCCACCAGCAAAAAGAGCCTATCTGGGTCAGATAGGGTGTTTTCGGGGTGCCAAAGCAAAACAACTGCCTATCTGTGCTGAATAAGATGCTTTGGGGACAACAAAGCCTATCTGAGTCAGATAGGGTGCTTTGTTCTGGGGCAGTATCTGGCCGGACTGTGTGTTTTTGGGTGCCAGAAGGCACTTTTTGCTGCTCACCAACAAAAACGAAACTACCTGAGTCAGATAGGCTGTTTTCGGGGTATCAAAATCAAAATCAACTGCCTATATGTGCTAAAAGGGTGCTTGGGGGATGCCGAAAGAAGCCCCACCAGGAAAAGGAGGCTAGCTGAGTCATAGGTTGTTTTTGGTGTCAAAGGGAGCCATCGGCTGCTCGTGGGTGCCAGAAAGGGGGCTGTGCTAAATAGGGTGCTTTGGGGATTCCAAGCAATGCTGTTGGGCCAATCAGCAAAAGGAGCCTATCTGAGTCAGATGGGGTGTTTTGGGCCCTGGGTTTTCGTTGAGTCTCGAGTAACACAGCACACAGAGCAACATGGGGCCAAGGGCTACATCGCTAATTTGGATTGGAGATTTTCGAGGTGACGTCGCGTGACGTGGCTATAATTTGCCCAAGGTCGTAGTACCAGTAGTAATAGTAGTAGTAGTAGTAGTAGTAGTAGTAGTAGTGGTAGTGGTAGTGGTAGTGGTAGTGGTAGTGGTAGTGGTAGGAGTAGTGGTAGGAGTAGTAGTAGTAGTAGTAGTAGTAGTAGTAGTAGTGGTAGTGGTAGTGGTAGAAGTAGTAGTAGTAGTAGTAGTAGTAGCCGTAGCAGTCGCAGTAGCAGTAGCAGTGGCAGTAGCAGTAGCAGTAAAGGTAGCAGTAGCAGTAGCAGTAGCAGTAGCGGTAGCGGTAGCAGTAGCAGTAGCAGTAGCAGTAGCAGTAGCAGTAGTAGTAGTAGTAGTAGTAGTAGGTCGTCTGCTGCTGGTGTCGTCTGCTGCTGGTGTTGCTGCTGGTGTCGTGTGCGACTGCTGGGCTGCAAGCCAGGGGTTTAGGGTTTGAGAGTTAAGGACTCTATAGAGTTAAGGACCCTATAGAGTTAGAGTTAAGCCGCATAGTTAAGGACGCTATGCCTACAATTGAGCCTCGAAGCTGAACGATCGATAGAAACAATGTTGTCGGGATAGTTGGTTTCTTGTCGCGGGTAGTGGGGAAACTGTCGTGGCTAAGGCACGTTCTCGTTCCGCGAGTTGCGAGGTTTCAGTTCCTGAGGCGCTGACTAGACCGACCAGCACCACAACACCAAATGCCTTCACGACGGCGCGCCCGATAATTCGCAGCGGCTGGCCTCAGATTGGATGAGTTGGGACGACAGCCGAACAGACCGTCGGTCTCCGAGGCTGCGTCAAACTTGGAAGATCTTCAACAGCCGCAACACTCGCAACAGCCGTAGGAAAGGAAGCACCTTGGACGCAAACTGCATTTGAGGGCCATAGTCTTAAACCCTGAACCCGTAACAGTAAAGCCTTCACACTTGAGCCGATCACCCCAAACCAAGCTTCTAAGCAACTTGTAAAGTTTTGTAAAATCCTTGCCGAGCCTCGAAATTCCAAGCACCCAATGGACGAACCTTAAAATGTACCAAACCCTTATGCCTGACCTTTCTGAACATCGGAAGTAGGTTGCGGGTTTCAGACCACATTCTGATGTGGTTGGTTCTCGGTTTGGGGGGTCCGCTGAGCTCCTGGTTTGGAGGATGGGACGGGTTGAGCATCGGGCGTTTGCCGTAGGGGCCGTAGGGGCTACACGGTTCAGGTTTTTACGGATTTCGAGCTTGTTCCGCCCAGCGCCCAATCGTGCGGCTTTCGAACATCTCACAGGTTTTTTAAACGTGTGCTTCAACGCTGAAGAATGTCATCTGCCACAAAAGTATTGCCGGAACAGGCCAAGATCACATCCGGACAACGGCTTAGCATGATCGCATCGGGTTTGGGGTACAGGCTTGGAAGTTTTGGAAGTTTAAGGTAATTCGGAATTCGCTTTACCCAAAACCATGGTTCAGGGATGTTAAGGTCTTGAACTTCCCTAAACCGCTAAGCAGCATGTCATACGATCCAGGCCGCGAAGAAGGTCGAGGGTGCTGGGATCCAGCATACAGTTTAAAGCATTGCAAGCCTCACTTCTTCTCTGCGAAAGGTCCTTCTTACAACGAACCCCAAACCTCCAGACCAACATTCTGAAACCTCAAACCCTGAACTTCTCAACGCCCAAAAGCCAGGAGCCAAAGCACCGACTGCCTTTCCATCTCTGCATCCAGGAAAAAGGGTAGGCTTACGTCAGCCAGGCCGGTCGTAACGACCTTTTGGAGAGCCAGGGCTGGAAGAGCAACAACGAAATACCAATGAATAGTTAATGTTAAGGCAATAACCATAAACAAGCATAAACAGTTCAGCAGGTGACAGTACTCATAGACGTAACATCCTCGGCACCAGGTAGTCCGAGGTGTCAACTCCCGCTTTTAATTTTAACTTGAGCCAGAAATCCCGAAGCACCGCCGCTCTACAATCTAAAGGGTCGAACCCTGACCTTGAAACCTAAAACTCGGAACCATCATGCCCAAAACGGGCAAACCTAAACCGGAAAACCTGAAACCCCAAACCTCCAAAGCCTAACCAAACGCAAAGCTCAGGGCTCCGCAACCATGTCTAGGAGCATCCACGGGTATCTGCCTGAAGAACGGATTTTTGGGAAGCAGGGTTGAAAGATTGGGGTTTAAGGTTCCCGAGGATGAGAAGTGTTGAGGAGGCAATTAGAGTTTGGGATCCCTAAATTTCAAGCCTGAAAAATCGTAAAACAAAGTCCTCGAAGCCTGATTCTCGTCCGCAAACCCAAAAAGCAAAGCTCTTGAGGCCGGCACAAAAGTATTCGCGGCATCCCAGGTCGCACATCCGGATCCATGCCTCGAACCTTGGTCAAAAAAGCTCGGGTTAACAAAGCAAGACCGGAGCAATTGGGTGTTTAGGTTGTGGTTTAGGGTTGAAGGGTTTTTGTCACGTGTGGGCTCTGTGTTTAGAGTTGAGGGAAGTTGGGCCTGGCATTCGGCCTTGGGGGGCCATTCGCTTCAAAGTTTTAGGCCAGGCTCATTTTAGGCTTCAAGCTTTTCGCAAAGGATGGTTGCGTGTTGAAACCATAAACCCTGGACCGTAACTCCCGAAACCGCACGCATCAGTCTTGAGTGTCCCAGAACATTTCACAGACTGGAAGACAGACACAGGAAAATCATGAACAGAACACAAAACTTAGATCCAGCCTCGCAGGGAAATCGCAAGGGGCAACGTGTCAGGAAACTACAGGAGTCTAATGTCCATGAGTACGGAGGGCGCTCCGCCCCAGTCGTTTTTTGAGAATGTTTGCGGAAGGTTCGGCCCGTCCGAGCTTGGGTCCGACCTTGGGCAACTCCGGTAGCTTCCTTGCGGGCACCTTCTGATCGGGTGGACGCTCCAGCAGATACTCAAAGTCAGCCACGCTGCAGCTACAAGTGTAATACAGTTGACTTCAGAGTAGTGCTGCTCACACGCACGACACAACACATCCATGCCACACGACAGAACAAGTCATCCACTTCCCAAGAAGTGCTCGCTGCCGCTCCATCAAAGGGTGATGGGGACAGCTTGCCCGGGCCATGCACCAGAAGATCTCAGTGACTGCATCCTTTCGTGCACGAGTCGAACCGAATCTCGAGTACACACTTCAAGAAACAGTTCTGGCCAGCGCAACCACTTGTCACTGCGCTCCCAGTTACGCACGGCAATTTGCCAACGACACTGCCGAGCAGAAGCCTCCGCCATCGTGAACCACTCTCCGTTTAATTTTCCTTCGCAAGAAGCCCGCCTGGGTGCTCCAGTTGAAAGAGGGCGAACCGGCACGCCACGGACGCGTGAACATGGAGGCACCAACTGCTCGTCATGGTTTGTCGTTGCCAGCAACGGGTCACGCAGTGCAGCAAAGGCCTCTTCCGACAGTTCGTGCCCATTGCGCGGAAGGCTCATGCTTCAGGGACAAGTGAAATTAGGCTAGGGAGTGGAGTGTATTCGGCATCAGGGTCTATCGTAAACCCTAAACTCCAAAGATCCCGAAAACCTAGTCCTGTGCCGTAAACCCTAAACGGTGATCAAAGTTTCTGGGTTGTTGAACTATCGTCAGACTCGGAAGCCGCCAGAGAGGGGAGGAGTTCTTCGAACTCAGGGCCAGGCTTGGGTTGACTAACGGGCTATCTCACAGGCTCGAGCTTTTGCAAGCGGCCCTTCGGCTTTGTGGGTTTTTCTCGGGGTTTCAACAGGCCAACAAGATCTCGATGCCTCAAAGAAATAGGAAGCGAGGGTGATCGTAAAAGATGGGCCATATCCTTTGCATAACGGTATGATATGAGAAAGCTCCATAGAACAATGATGATGGAACCTGATTAGGGAACCTCTGGTTCAACATGACCAAAATCATAGGATGCTATGACGGCTGTGAACCTTCATGATCACCAGGCTCCTCTAACTAAAGCACAAGGGCCGCACGCATTACACTCAACGCGAATTCGAAACTTCCAAGCTTAGGCACTGGGAACAGGGAGCTGGGCTCTACGATGCTGAAACTGTCGATGGGCTACAGCAAGTATAACTGCGAAAGTAACCTCGGTAACCTAATTTTCTAGCCCCAAACCATAACAACCACAAGCAGATTTTCGCCCTCCAGAGACGCAGGCAGGAAGAAGAGCACAAAGAAGTACTCGCAGACGGTGTAGGCAGCAAACCTAGCAAGTTCGTTGTTGCTTTGCTCACAGTTTGAGCGCCTGAAACGTCAGTTTAGAGTTTAGTGCTTGGGGACGTCTCAGTGGATTCTTGAGCATGTGCGATCGGGGGCTTCAGGCTTTGGGCTTCCAGGTGGAGGAATTGATGGTGTTGCTGGGTCGGACACTTCATGCTTTGAGCTGCGACGTTGTGAAGGAGATCTTCTACGGAACTCCCCTTGCTTAAACTCCTTCCAGTCGCTCGAACGCAGAATTCATAGAGGGCGGAAAATCTGTACCAGAAGACCATCTGCAAGAGGCGGGGGCTTCCCCCCCCCCCCCCCCCCNNAACAGCAGCAGCAACAACAGCAGCCACAGCTACACCGTCAACACCAAGACCAACAACACCAACACCAGCACCCGCACCAGCACCACTACGACCAAGACCAAGACCAAGACCAAGACCAATCCCACCACCGCCACCACCACCACCACCACCACCACCAGTTTCACCAACAACAACAACAACAGCAACAACCACCACCCACCCACCCACCCACCCACCCACGCACCCACCCACCCACCGCCACAACCACCGCCACAACCACCGCCACCACCACCGCCACAAACAACAACAGCAACAACCACAACGACAGCCACAACGACAACAGCAACAACATCAGCAGAAGCAGCATCAGCAGCATCAGCAGCAGCAGCTGCAGCAGAAGCGACAGCAGCAGCATCAACAACAGCAACAGCAACAGCAACAGCAGCAGCAGCAGCAGCAACAACAACAACAACAACAACCATACTACACCTACAGCCGGATGTAATCCCAAACCCTGAAGCCAGAACTCCAAAACCAAAAATCCCTGCAGTTCTAGTTCGAAACCCCGCGAAACCCTGAAGACAGATTTGACCCCTTACCCCTAAACCCCTGAAGCCCAGCGCAGCAACCCTAGCAGTTTTTGGTTAATAAGATCCGCTTGGGCCCAAATCCAAAAACATAAAACTCCTTTCGCTTATGAAGCCCATCTAAACCCCATCAAAAGCTCATACAAAAGAAAATACTCCTCTCACCCAAGAAGCGAACAAATGAAAGAGATCCCTCAACCCTGTAGAACTGTCACAGACCCCTTATTAAAGGAGCCTTGAAGTAAGCCTGTTAAACTCAAACCGCTATAGCAACCCTGTCGTACCCCTGAAGCCATCTGTAACCCCAAAAGAAACCCATGCAGCAAGTAACTTGAAACGCAACATAGGCCTCAAACCGAGGCTCTGGCTTGAGCTTGCCGCTACCCATGGGAAGGGCGAGCTCGCCATTTAATGGCACGTTGTGATGCAAAGTTGCCTGAGCTATGGGCTTAGCCAAAACTCTCGGGAGAAGGTTAAGGGTTTACGCTCTCACAACACGGACTGGCCAGGTTAAGGGTTTAAGGTTTTTGGTATAGGGAGGGTGGGGGTTTCTGCATGGACGAGTAGTCTTATTCATATTGCCATGGACGTTGACTAGATGTGCCTAAGGTGAGTAAACACACGCAGACACACTGGCGCGACATGGGGTAGAGGCATGATCATACGATTCGAACTAGTTTTAGAATGGGATGGATTGCCCCGCAACTACTGATGGTGGTGGTGGTGGTGCAAGCACGAGCGCCGGCAGAGATGATGCCTGTGGTGGCCTTACGCCTCACGCCCACAGCATCTGTCGAGATCCGGGCATTCAGCTTCTTCTGCAAATTCGCCTGCTTCAAGGGGCCGGGAGTGTCCGTTCTGGGCCTCAGAGGTTGAATTATTGAAGGTCAGGGAGTCGGGCTCGGGGAGTAAGGCTCTCAAGGTCTGTGGCGGGTTGAAGGGTTGAGGGTCTCTACGTTTGAGGACTGCGTGCTGATCTAAGGATGGGCGGACGCATTGCCGACATGAGGATTATGAAGGTCTACTTATCCCCAGCACAATTGCAACGACATGTCTTTGATGGGAAACGCAGTTCGTTCATTGTTGCGGCCACACAAGAACCCCAAGACAAAACAAGCAAGCCACACCAGCATAATAAGGGATTTGGGTGTGTTGGTTTGTTGCATTGTGCTCAGAACTTTGATGGCTTCAAACTCTCGGAATCTGCGCTGGAAACAAGCCCGTCGAGTTCAACTCTATACATCCTGAGTGCGGAATCGCATCTCGTGTTTATGCGTCAGCGAATTCAGGTTTTAGAGCATAAGTCCCGGCTGACTTACATCAAGACTGTCATTGTTCAGAGGCTCTCCGGACAGGCCAGGCCAAGCCAAGCCAAGCCGTCAAGAATGAGAACCCTTTACACCCTTGTCTACATGATTGCCATGTCTAGGAGTCTAGCAGAAATCCCTGTCCACCAGAAGAGGGATTGCAACACACGGGATAGCAAGGAACTCTTGCACATACTCCGCATGGACAAGCTCCGAATGGTAAGAGGGTTCTTGATGGTATATTGCAATCACGAAGAGCTGGCCTTGAGACGCTGATCTGCGGTGATACCATCCTTAATCTCAGTCTTCACCTGGCATCCGAAAGACGCCGAAGGGGTGGAGTCTTCTCCCTACACCTTCAACCGAAAACATCTAAGCCCTAAGCCCACAACGGTACATAATCCTTTAGGGCGTCAGGGTCCACGACTGACCCAAGCCTGCTGCACGGGCTCTGAGGTCAGGCCATAGAACTGGGTTCCCCGGCATCCCCGTAACGATGAAGATGTTCAAACGAAGCCCTAATGAGAAAACACCCAAGATAAAAAGGGTGGAAAGGGTACTCCCGGCAAATGTAGAGAGTCTAGAGAGGACTTCGGTGCTCAGGGCGCGGTGGCATTCATGGATCGTGAAGAATTCCAAGAACACCCCAAATTCCCAAACTTTAGGATTTGGGGCCTAGGACTTAGTGTCGGCCATGGCCCCAACGCCTGCGCTCAACCCGCGAACCCAAACCCCCAAACCATGTAACCCAAAACCACCCGATCCCCCCCCCCCCCCCCCTCCAAAAAAAAAAGGTACCAAACTCGTGACAACATCCGAGAAAGCACCAGCGTCCGAAACCCCGACCAATATACTAAGCCAGACAGGACGACGCTCTTCTCCAAGCCCACTTTGAGCGCATCGTTGTGAATGTCCACGCTTAGCAGGTCAGTTTCCAAGCCTTCCACAGAGACTTCGGGAGAAGCAGTGGAGGGGCGGGGAGCCTGCCGGGTCTAACTACCATATGCCTGATGGCGCTACAGGGCTGGCTACAGAAAAAACCCCTTCGTCACTCCCGTTTTCATCTCCATAGCCTAAGCCCGGAGTCGCAATCGGTTCGTCATGTGGTGATACCACCATTGACAAGAACAGCCAAACAACGTGCTGCCGAGAACTTCCCCGCCAGCGGCACCTGTCCAGGCAGGGGCGGCAGGCCCCAAAAGGCCCAAATCGGCTTCCACTGCCAGCAGGACTGCATTTGCACCTGGATCGCCAAAAAATCGAAAACCCAAAAAACTCCAAGATTCAGAACCCTCCCGATTCAAAGCACACACAACTTCCAAAGCCCTGTCACAATCCTAAGTGCAACCTTCCGAGGCCACGCACTGAGCTCAGCGCAAACTACGACCCCGACCACGAAGTTAAAGCAGCTGCCCCGGGTGCTTAAGCAGCGAGGCCTTTGAAAAGGAGAGCTGAGATGTCACTACAGTGTAAGGCTTCTGTGGGGACTCTAGACGTTTGGCTTTTTGCCCACGGATTTGTTTTGTTCGGTTTGGACCGGGGAAGGCTTCTGACAAGGCTCCTTCAGGATTTTGTGCATGTTCATAGCCCCAAGTGCCGAAATATGATGCTTCTGCGGTGGTGTTGGTGTTAGTTAGCTTTTTGAGTGGCCGGTTTGGCAGGGTTTCTGTTGGCTTGATTTGGCCGGGTGCGAACAAGCCACGGCAACGGAACGCAAAGCTTACTCACAGGTTGCTAAAACTCTTGTTATCAGAAACTCCGACTGGGAAGCTTCTCCGAGCCTAAAGGAACGTAGTAAGCTAGTTAGAGGTAGGGCTCGAATCTGTATGGCCTCAACTCTCGACTGAGCCACTTATGACGCTAAATACATCCTGTTATTGAGACTAGCCACAGGAGCCTGATCAAGTACTAACTCTACTGGAGGCCCCAAACATATACTGGCTCGGGTAGCGAGCACAATATGGCTGTGAAAACTGTTGTAAACAAGGGTTGGAGAAAACAACTTGAACTTAGCCAACTTCGAACTAGAAAGTTACTATGCAACAAGTGCTGCGCAAGTTGCGATTACTGTTGCCTGGATCTCTGCTCCACTAGTAGTAGAAGTAATAGAAGTAGACACACACTTAGAAGTGGAAGTAGTAGTAAAAGTAGTAGTAGTTGTAGTAGTAGTAGTACTACTACTACTACTACTACTCCTACTCCTACTACTACTACTACTACTACTACTACTAGTGCTACGGTTGTAGCAGCAGTAGTCGTAGTAGTAGTGACAGTAGTAGTAGTAGTAGTAGTAGTAGTAGCAGGAGTAGCAGTAGCAGTAGCAGTAGCAGTAGCAGTAGCAGTAGCAGTAGCAGTAGTAGTAGTAGTAGTAGTAGCAGCGGTAGTCATAGTCGTAACAGTAGCAGCAGCAGGAGGAGGACGAGGCGTAGCAATAGTAGTAGTAGCAGTAAGAGTAGTAATGGATCTTGTAGTAGTGACAGTAGCAGTTGTAGCAGAAGAGGAGGAGAGAGACAAGGGATGCAGCAAAAAGTCTGGTCTAAATTTCCGTTCCTCAACCTCGAACCTCGGCAGCGAACGCATGAAAGAAGCTCCATAGCTTCGAAATACCAGCTGCCAAAACTCATAATGGTAAACACCAAACTGACTCCTGGGCAAAACAACTACATGCTGTGCGATTGTGGATGAAGATGTCCTGTTTCCTGGGCTTCCGAACCACGTCGGCTTCCTTGTCCTCTTCGTCGTACTCGGCATTGCTGAACAGCGACCTCGCAGAGTTTTCGGGTCTCACGTTGTGAATACCTCGAGAGATTTCTGCATCTAGATCTCCAAATGTCTTTAAAACCTAAGTGGAAGGCAAGCGGGCTGGGGGGGGGGTCGGAGGGACTGTTCTGATGATAATCCTCATGCTTTTGTTGACCTTGTTGCTGCTGTTGCTATTGTTGCTGTGGCCGTGGTTGTGATGGTGCTGGCAATGCCGGCGGGTTCGACTACAATAAAAAACAATTCCGAAGGTGAGCCCGAAAGGCCCCTGAAGCGATATTGATGTTCCTCAGATTGTACCGCTAGGACTTGTCATTTCTTTAGGGTACGCTTGTCGGTGTACAGCATACCGGAAGAGAGCCAGACCAAAGCTTAGACAAAGTGTGGTCCGCTGATTACGTTCTTACAACGGCGGACTATGGCAAGGCTCCCTTCAGGGCCCGCTGCTGCAGCTTTGGAGTTTGGGATCCTCTTACCCTGCAAAACCGCATGCTCTGCAACCACAGTTGGGTGATCCATGTGTTCAATCGTTTCTTGAGGTCTCTGTTCAAGCACCGAAGATGCGATCGGCCCGTCTCTTTTCCTCCTGCCCTCGCAGATGTCGCGGGTGCAAACTGAGGCAGGATTGAGGTTGTGCTCAACTTCACGTGTTGTAACTTCAACCCTACACCGTGGTGTCCTGCAGGTTGGGGTACTTTAGAACGAGGGCGTTGCTTCAATACGACGTACTCCTTGCGAGACTAAGGCGGGAGGTTTCCTGGGGGCCCGGAGCCCAAAATCTTAACCCCTCAACCTGAGCCTAAACCTTGTACTAGTGTACTTGCAAACTCGCAAACCGCGAGCCTGAGGATCAGAGAACATAGTCTGTTGGATTGTAATTGGAGTTTTTTTTTTTAAAGTCTGCCATTGGGGATGAATCTTCCACTCAGGAAGTGGGACTCTAGGTCCAAGCCTCTGCAAGATGTGTCCTGGATGTTTGGGTGCCTTCTGAAAGGCTGCGGGTCTATTGGCTTAGGGCTGACTGGGCAAGTTCCAGTAGCCGGTTACTTCCTTGCCAAGATTACCTCAGAAAAGAAGCTTAAATGCTGCCCGCTAGGTTCCCCAATAATACAGCGGCCACCTTTCCGATTACTCCGTTTGTTTTGATAGGGAGACCCCAATACAAACAGGGCGTAAGAGCATTACCGGGGAACCTAGCACACTGTAACCCGTATCGCCTAGAACCCGAATAGAACCGTTTTGAAACCCCAAGGGAAGCCAACCGAAGCCACGGGGTTTATACTTTTGTACTTACCTACTCAGCTGCACAGTAGCAATTCCTTGGACCCGATTAGAAACTAGAGGTTGCGCTTTGCAGGCCTGGAGGAGATAGGACGTTCATCACGTGCTTTTGAATAAAAGTCTGGGCAAAGAGGTGCACACCAGCTTAATTAGAATCATCAGCTGCTAGTGCCTACAACGGCCTACCAGTCCTGACCTTCCCATTGTACCTCTATGGGCGGTGAGAGGTTTGTTGTCGGGGTGCGGTTGTTCTCCACGGGGAGTTGAAACCCCACAAACTCACAGCCCTGAAACCTCAAGCTTAACACCTCTCTCTATCCTAAGAGTCCGAGCCATGAGTCCTAAACCCGAACATTTTCGCACCCTACACCCCAATCCGGTCTTTTGCTTTGCCGCCTTTGGCGTTGCAAACGGCTCAGCACGACCAGAGATCGTTTTCGCCTCGGCTTAGAGGGCTCTGTGTCTCCGGCGCATGAGCAAGTGTTTAGAGCTTCGAGATCGTTTTTTTCCGGGTTTAGGTCAGGTTGGATATTTTTAGATGCTTGAGGATCCCAGGCTGTCAAAGCCGCAAGCCTTCACGGCTTCGAATGTCCAGGCCGGAGATCCCAAACATTGTCAGTTTCGGAGAAGTGTCGATAGGAATTGACAATACTCAGTGCTGAGGCACCGTCCTCAAAGAGATCCCTACCCTAATTTTGAATTGCAGAACTATTCAACCATTATCTCTATAACCCTTCAAGCCGTTCCAGAAAGCAAACCCCTGATTGTTACGAGCCCCTAAAACTCTTAAAAAGGATTTTCGAAGGGATCTTATAAATGTTGAGGCTCTTCGAGAGAGGGGGCATTCACCAAGGTTCTACATTGACCCTCTCCTAATTGAACCGAAACGCCCTCAAGTTGCAAAGCTACCTGTGGTTCGACAGAAACCACCCACAACCCTCAAACCTAATCGCCTAGAAGGAACTACCCCATCAAAACTGTACTGTCAGAACCTTCCCCTCAACTACGCGAGGAAATAACATGTTGTACTTCGAGACTACTGTAGACTGCTGAGTATTGAACCTGTCTCCCTCAATTGAAAAATTACATACAAGTCCTAATCATGCTAAACTCCGAAGAATCCAGATTATCACGGGATCATTGTTCAGGGATCCACATGGTTCACACCAGTAGTAAATCGTTAGAGCTCGGAACCTTGAAAGGTTGAAGCTTGGTGAACTGCGAACCTGTATCAACCAAGGCCCGACATCAATCGCCGCTCGTTTAGGTGTAAGGCTGCCTCTGACTTAAAACTCCGGCCTCAACAAAACGAAGTACTAGCAGCAACTAGAAGAAAGGTGCTGGCATGTAGTAGTCAACGGTCTTCACAAGCAGGATGCTGCTATGCTTCAAAGTCACCAGGGTTCAGGAGTGTTTGGGTTCGGGGTTTCAGGTACAGGGTTAAGGGAAGTCGTACCTGAACTGACCACACAAGAAGAGTGTCAAACGACCCTGCATCTCTTCAAGTACAGAGACTCGTAAAAGGCTAGCGACAACTCCTCGAGGAGAAACCGAAAACCCGAAACTCTAAACCCTGACGGAACATGGCTACAGTAGATCGGTGAGATGCACTCCAGGACCGTCCTATGCCACTTGTTTGGTAAGATACATCCACCTACACTTTGATGGCAACCTGCAACCAAGCGTCTGTGAAGAAGGCAGTCACTAAAGGGGACTAGAAATTGATCGTGGTCCGCACCTGAATCTCATTCCAAGTGAGGCATGCTCGTTTGTTGGGTTTTAAACGGTGTCGTCGGAACTGCATGGCTCTCTGCGGGAAAGACGAGTTTTATACAGCATGTGCAAACAGGAATCACCACCAACTGTCCCTGACAAATGCGAGCCCGATACCAAGAGGCCTAAGCAGGTCGGTCATACGCCTAACTTCTTTCCCACCTCCATGTGGGGAGTTCAAAGGTAGTACGGCACCCTTTTAAAAAGGACCCTGACAGGGACCCTTTTTTCGAGAACTACCCATGTACTCCACAAGGATCGAGCTGGAACTTCTGGGCTGCTCCTAGAAGCCCTCAACAGCCTTAATAGCCCCACAGAATGAGCAGATCAGTCCTGAAGTCCAGGGACCCCAAAACCTTGCTGCTGGGAAGAAGACACAATCCTAAGCCCTGAACACCTTGCATTCAAGTTTAGTCTGAAGGTTTGCTG